TTGATTTATGTTTTTTGCAAATCTTTAAAGTCTGGCTTCACTGAAAATGGTAGGAGTCTCCTATCTGGTCCTGCATTCAGTATGTTGTGCTATATTGTTTATGTTGAAGTATTTGAAGAAAATCCAGCTTTACAGTCACTGGAAAGGGAGGGAGTATTTTAATAGCCTTTTCAGATAATTGTGGATAATTTTCTTTGCTACTACATCAAAATGTGTCAGATAACTATACCTGACTTTAAACGAGTCAGGTAGCAGCTTAAAGTTTAGTTGTAATGTGAAATTTGAAACCGTGTCAGTGTACTTCTTGTATTCTGTTACATTCAGGTCCATCGTGCAATGTGTATTAGAAAACAGTGCACTGAGTTACGCAGATCTTCTATATATGTCATTTTATACAGTATTTTAAAAATCATATTTGTTAAAATAACCAGCAGTCTTACCTGAAAAATCACTAAGTCTAGGGAAGCTTCAATATCCTGATGATGGATTCAAATTTTCCAACATTCTAATGCTGCTCGAAAGAATGATTTTTATCATTGGCCATGGGTACTGCCAGATGTTTCTTCTTGTAATGACAAGGCTCGTTCATTCATGTCTGAGAAAATGTCTGCGAGGTACCCAGGTCTGAATATGTTCTCTCAACATATGTCTGTCAGATGTCCTTTCAAGTCAAGATGGTTATTCCATGAAGAGCAGCTAGTCCAGCTTCAGACCATCACATGAGCACCGTTCCTCGTGGCCACCGTCATGCCTCAATGAGCAGCGGAAGTGCTCTGGGGGGGATGAACCGTGTCATCGTACAGAATTTTTAAAAGGCCCGTAAGGATCAAGGTTTAAGAAAACTGAAATTTTATCCTGCGTTTTTGTTCTGCTGAGGGAGTGTGGTGGCAAAGGATGTGGCTGCTTGGACAGTTTGCTGTCCCTGCCTGAGTTCACTTTTATCCAGTTACGTCCTTTGCTCCATCAATGCAACATGTGCAGAGGCCGACAGGGTAGAAAAGGCAAGTGACATCTTATTACGAGTATGAAAAGAGAGTGTGAGGACCCTCCCCAGGTTGGCAGACCATACTTTGAGAAACCGTGCTCTAGTCTACTCCTCCCTTGGTAAAAAGAGAAACTTAAGGCCAGGAAAGATGATCTCGCGCAGGCTCACTCCAGTAGTAAGTGAAAGAACCAAAGCCAGGCCTCTGTTCTCTTTCTTGCATGTAATGCAACTCGTCTTGTTTACCCTGAGGAGCTTCCCCCTCACCACCCAAAAAAGGAAAATTCTCAGATGCTCTGTCAAGGTGACTAAAGGGGCAGGACTTACCACGTGAGGAATTGAGAAATTCTTTCAGCATTTTCAGACTTCTTCATTCAGTCCTAATGTTCTTCATTGACCTCAGTTTTAGAAGCAAGTGCAATAGGATTTGAAAAACATCTGGGAAATTTATATTATAACTGAAATTATAAAAGACCTTAGTAATGATTTTTTTCCTTTCATTTTTGCTCATCATAAAAAACCTCTTTAAGTCGGTACCTAAAAGTGTTATTAAATTGATTGTGTAATTGATGCTTTAAAAAAGTTACATTTTGACATAGGCCTAGAGGGTTTGTTCATCAGAAGCTCTGTGAAAGGACACCGTGGAGTTTGGGATTAAAATATACACACGACTATATATAAAACCAACAAGTACCTACTGTATAGCACAGGGAACTCTACTCAATAACCTATAACAACCTATAACAGAAAAGAATCTAAAAGAGAATAGATATACATGTATACATATAACTGAATCACTTTGCTGTACACCTGAAACTAATACAACATTGTAAATAAACTGTATTTCAATAAAAAAATTTAAAAAAAAAAGAAGAGGAAGGCCACCACGGAAGAAGCCTGGCTTTTAAGCACTAGGGCACTGTGAAGGGACTCCCTCTGTGTTAATTTCCTTAAAATCTTAAACTTCCTGTAAGTCTCCAGTAGCCATGCTGTAGACTCCTGTTAGGAAAAGGAAGCGTGCGCTCTCTCCTGAGGGTTACACTCTGATTGGAAAAGGTTAGTCAAAAGGATCTTCATTTTCCCAGCGTCGAGATGGTTGGTGTGGCACTCACAGCCACTGGAGGAGACCGACAATATAAACAGAGTCATCGCCAAACCCCTTCCTTAAGTTCAGTGTGTTGGAACGGAAGGAGAGCAGCTTTGGGGCCAGAGTGGGTTCACACCCATCTCTCACCTACCAGCTTGTGACCTCGCCAGGAAGTTTCAGTTCCTGCATCCGTGGCCCAGAGATGTTACTATCAAGAGCGGGTGGAGGATGAAGTGAGATCATAGCTTAAGCACCGAATCTGACTCTTGACGGAGGGACATTTTAGTCCTTCACAAGGGGGTTTAAGGGTTTAGGATGAGGAAAGATAGAGTTAATAAGTAGAAACGGGGAGCATATACTCTACCTATGGTAAATTTTCTCACAAAGAAAAGAAAGGAGGTAGGGCAGTAGCTTGAAGAGGAGAGAAGGCCCAAGGATTATTTATGGTTGTTGGGTTTGTTTGTATAGTTTCTTGTCCAGCAAAAGCACAGGAGAAAGCAAGACAATACAGCTGAGAGCTATCAGGTCACTCATTTAGTGAATAACGTATTGCCTGATGGCCACGTACCAGACAGGGACTAGGGACCGAGGTCCTGGCAGTGAACAAAGCCAGCCCCTGCTTCCTTGGAGCTTACATTCTAGTGGGAGGAGACAGGTGATATAATGTCATTATAAACATAAGTGCTGTGAAGGACAATTAAAGAAAACAGTTGAGCGCCTGGGGTGGAGCACGGCCTTCAGGTGGGATGGTCGGGAAGGCCTCCTGAAGGTCCAGGGCTCGCTGATGGTGTAGGAGCCCAGAGGCAGCGGAGGGGCCTGGAGACAAGTGTGGGCGCAGCAGGTGTTGGGAACACCCCATTTCCTGATTCTGAGATACACATCTTCTTACCTTTTCGTGTTTTAGGACTCGGGGCATATGGTGTATATTTAGAGCAATAGGGCCTCGCCCTCCTGACCCCCACCCCAGGAAAAAGTAACCATATTTGTGTTGTATAATTAAAGAGGAGAGTTTAGAAGTAGGAAGCAGGGGCAGTGACCTCTCTCTTCCGCACGAAGTGTCAGTCACTTGAAGCTGCTAAAACAAAGTACCACGGACCGAGTGGCTTCCAGACAACAGAAATTTATTTCTCAAGTTAAGAGGCTGAAAGTCCAAGATCAGGCGCCAGCGTGCTCAGGTTCTGGTGAGAGCCCTCTTCTGGGCGGCAGGCTGCCATCTTCTCAGTGTACGCTCCTGTAGCAGAGAGAGAGGAAGAGAAGTCTCTGGGGTCCCTCTTATAAGGGCACCAATCCCACTCATGAGGGCTCCACCCTCGTGACCTGATTAACTCCTAATACCACGACACTGGAGGTTAGCATTTCAATATGTGAATTTGGGGGTGGGGAGGGAAGGCACAAATACTCAGTTCATTGCAAGGTCAATGCCAAAAATCACTGACAAGAGAGAGAGCCATGGGGGAAGGGTAGGGTGGGGCAGAGGGGTGGGGCCTCAGACAAGCGGTGGGAGAAACCTGGGCTGGTCCCAGTGAGGGACTGAAGGGAGTCTGCTAGGACAAGAAACTGACTGTGGAATCAGTCTGCAGTCTCAGACTGGAAACCTGACATTTATGATGTTGTCCAGTGTTCAGAGTGGTTGGATTTCTCCAGCACCGGGCAGCAGGCAGTGGGAGTGGAAAGCATGGGGGAAGTAGGGGAACCAGGCGGGGTAAGCACTGTGGAAAGACGCACGGCATGCCGGGAGTATCCAGGGATGATCAGGCAGGAAGCCAACTCCAGGACCAGGAGTATTTACCTAAGTACACATACCTATGTACGTGCAGAGCCTCGGGGAAAAGAGAACGCAGGTGGACTGTGTCATCACTCCATCCCCTTGGAGAAAATGGGGAGTTAACGCTTACATGTTCCTAACCTGTGGACGAGAGTGAATGTTTCCTTCAGCCAGGTCTGTAGTTGTCATCCAAAGAACAATAAAGATACTGATGGAGGAGAAGCCGGGCAGAATTCAAAAGGAAAGGAGTCCAGATTGGTCCCACAGCTTTCACACTCCGAGGCCGTCGTGGTTTTGTACCTCAGAATCTGTACAGTATGTGGGGGTTAGCTCACGGAGGTCCGGACTGGTCAGCCCCATGGGAATAACTCCCACAAGCCTGGGGCCTTGGTGCCAGCAGTGCCTGGTCCTTCCTTTTCTTTCTCTTTATTTTCTTCCAAGTGTCAGTATCATAGGTGGTCTCCCTGTGTTAAGGTAAGATGTACCTTGATTGAAGAAGTGAGGAACAGTAAAGATTCAGCAAGCAGGAGTTTTAGGGAATAATTATCCACGTAACAAAGAAACACGTGGTGCTGTACATTTGTACTTACAAATCATGAACTGTTTGACATAAAAGCTGAGGTACAGAAAGACCTCCAGAAAAAAACAAAAATGTCCTAAATCAGTGTGAGTTGTGAAGATAAAATATCTGTACAACTCTACCATAAAGCAGTGGAACCATTATTTCATTTTTTAAAATGCAGTTTGCGCATTCTTTAAAGATGTCTGTTCTATATATATACAGCAAATCTACTTTTGAAATTATGGTATAAAAATAAGAATATCTTTGTGATTCCAGTCCCTTGCTTTTAACTATCCTGCTGTTGAAACATTGTGATCTTTACCACTCTAGTTTCATAATCATGGTATTTTGACCAAAAGCAAGAACTTTCTGCACTGTCCTAGTTTAGTCGTTCCAGCTGACTGCGTGTTCTGATGTTGAAACCTTGTCTTTCCGTTCATCCCACTAAGGAAAGGTTTTCTTCACCAACTGTCATCCCAGATGTGTAACTATTCCAACTGATATTGAAATATAAGGTGTAAACAGAAGGGGTCCATTTTTAACTCGGTGGTGGAAGATTTCTTGCCCTGAGACGTTTATGTAGCTCACTAAAGCCCTTTTGCAGGAGGTGTTTCCCTGCTCCCCAGTCCTGTTGAGAAACAGCTGACTCAGAAGAAGTCGGCATCTCCTGGAAAGACAGCGCGCACAGGTATTTGTTCTATGGGAGTTAGAGTGTCGAACGAAGTGATTTGCTGCTTTCACCTTGATGCGGTCCAGTTAGCAAGGCCTTCTGGGTTTCAGCTGTGTGACTCACCTGAACGTTCACAATGCTAGCAATATTAACAGCAAAAAGGATAACGGGAGGACGGGCTTAACAAAGCATCCCTCTGGCTTGCTTTGCGTTCCTCATAGATCGTTAGCTCTTAGTCAGATTCTGGCGCTACTCAGTCATTCTTAGATTTGGGTAAAGATACCAAGTTGACTGCTGTGTAATAGTGAATAAAATCTTGCTCACATTACAGGGTTTTTTGGGGTTTTGTTTTGTTTTTTTTTTGCCAAAACGATAAATAACTTCATCTTTCTCGATGCATTAAAAATAAGAATATATCATAGTTTTCAACTGTTTTTCATCAGAAGCACTTGAAATTAAAAATAGTTCCTCCCAGAAATGAGGACTGATACAGGGGGCTTAATTAAAATGAAGGAGAAATTCACTGAAATTGAGCATTATTAAAATGTATTTTAAATGTAGTGCTCTTTAAATTTTCATTTGGGACATTAATTATATGACCCAAAAAGAATAATTAGCTACTAGAATTGAACAAAAACCACATTGTGTAATTTTTTTTCTTTTATTGCCGTTAATGTTTAGGTAACTGGCTTTTAAATTTGTTCATAAAGAGTGCTTGTTTCCCCATGCTTCGTGACATATTCACATATCTAATTTGTTCAATTTTATGGGCTACAGACCCTCTTTGGATGCTAGACTTTTCTTTCTATAAACAAGCTATCTTAAACTTACTTCTTAATGATCCCCCACCACCACCGCAGCATACTGAAATCTACAAGTGCTGTCAAAGTTCTGGTTGCCCTGACCCACCCTCTGAGAGTCCCCATATTTTCTCTTCCGAATTGAGAAACCCCGTGGCCATTGCTCTCACCGTCCTCCTGAGATGTGGCCAGAGTCGCTAGTCCCACTCTAGAGCCCGTCCCTCCCAGGACCCCTGAGACCTGGGCTTACCCCCATCCCCTGAAGGGCCACCAGGGGAGTTTTGTCCCCTGCTAAGCTGGAGAACAACAGCAGTTAGCATCAATGCTCAGTATAAACAAAAGAGGAGAGGGTGTCCCCAGAAAACAGCCCTTTACAATGCACGTATGTTCACTCCTATTCACTAGAACTGTTCATCTGCTTAGCACTTTGTCAACTGGATGCAAAAATTGGGGGGCGGGGCAGGGGAAGAGAGCCTGATAGGCTGGATCAGATGTAATAAGTGAGCTGTCAGAGAGAAGTGCTTTACAGGTTTATGGGGAGCATCGTTCACAAGTAATAGTTATTTCTTCCCGCTTTCCTTGATTTACCTCTTAAAAAAGAAATACCCGTTTAAGGGTTCAGTGCTGCTGCCGTATGATTCACGGTCAAGATTTGTGCGTTTTTTCCTCCCACCAAAAATAAATGTCAGGAGCTTCGTACTTCTTGGCAAGAGAAGGTAGGAAACTGCTGAGAATCTAACATGTGGTAAGCACTACCCTGGCACGTTTAATGCATACTTTCTTCATTTAATCCTGACAGCGACCAGATACTATTATGCCCATTTCATAAAGGGGAACATTCAGGCTGAGTGACTCTCCCAAACCACGAGACAGAGACAGGAGTTGAACCCACATCTGTCTGAACCCCCAAACCCGTGATCTTACCACTAGAGACTGTGATGGTGACTGTCACCATGCGTAATAGCTTCCAGGCAGCAGGTAGACCTGGGAAGAGCCTTTGGAGTCACGCGGGCCAAGGCTTGAGTTCCAGCCTGTTACCCGCTGGCTGCAAAATCTTCATCTGTAAAATGCACATAACAGTAACTCCTGACCCAGCGCGTCGTGGGGATTAAAGGACATAACGCGCGCGAAGTATTTTGCACAGCACCTGACACGTAAATTGGGAACATGCTCGCTTCCTTTGTACAGTGTCAGATTTCCTGAACTTGGGCTCCTAGTAGAATGACTCTAGGCGTGCTGAGTGCTGAAGATGTGTGGACTGGAGTGATGATTGGCTTCCCGAGTCCTTGGACACAAAGCACCCGTGTGCCTGTGTTGCCAGCGCGCTTTACGGTACCATCTCTCCCGCCAGCACTCAGTACAGCCCTGTAGATGGCGCCGCAGAGCCGGGACATGCGGGGGAACGGGTGGGCGATGGCTCCACGTGTTTGTAGGTTTTTCAACAGAATTAAGTTGAGCTGCCTTGTGTTCTGAGACGTTTCTTTCATCTCAGATTTCTCCGGGGTTTTACCATGCTTGTTCTAACCAGAGACCATCCTGGGAAACAGTTTGAACCCCAACTGGAACTTATTATTGGAAAGCCAAGTGGGAGGGAGGACAGGGATGCCAACCAATAAAATTGAAGATAGGGTTTTTCAGTTCAATAACGTTAAAACCTAAACAAGTCCTAAAAGTTTTGGCTTTTTCGTGGCCAAGACTTGGCAACACTTTCGCTCTGAGCCTGGAGCCAGGGACTGCGTCAAGAGCGGGGGGCCCCCTCTCTCCACCTCCGCTCCGGCTTAGCCGCGGGCCCTCGGGTCCCCGCAGGTGGAATGAGGGGCAGACGTGCCCGAACCAGCCAAGGGTCGGGTGGGAAGAACTCTGTTCAGAAGCAGCGCTGCGGGCCTCGGTTCATGCCGGTGGGAATCAGGAAGTGAGCTGCTTGCGGCTCTTGGACAGTCACCCGCCCCGTGTTCCTGTCTCTTAACACGGTGTGCGGGGCCACGTTGTGGCACAGTTAGAGGGGGCTGGCTCAGATGCGGGCGCGCGGTGCCACTGGGCCCTCGGCTTCCATCCGCCGCCTGGCAGGGCAGCTGACACGCACCAGCCCCGGGCTCTGGAGGAGATGGAGGGGGACGCACACGGTGCTTTCTCCGGACAGATACCTGGCCGCCTTTCTGGGTTTGTCAGAACCCTGTGGATAGGAAGTGGGAAACTCAGCTTTGAATATCTGCTTTTACCTTCAGGTGACTATTACCTTTTCATCAGTTCTCTAATAAGTGGGCTGTTGGAAAGAATCATTTGATGGTAATTGAAGTTTGGAGATATGACAAGCCATTGCTATTTCAAATTTTTTTCTTCTCCTTAAAATCCAGAGATAAAAATTATATTTTGGAGCTAATTAGGGCAATTTTGTAAAGAATTTTCTCCCTTTTGAGGGGAGGATGAAGGAGAGGAAGGAAGGTCACTGCTTTGCATTGGAATGGGACGGACCTGGGTTGTGTGGATTTTGGCATGTAATTAACTTCCTCAAGCCTCTTTTTGCCTCATCTGTAAAAGGGGACAATAATGTTTATTTGCAGAGTTTGCATAAGGATTCAATTAAAAGACCAGCATAGATTCTAGACCATAATAAGGACTCATTGCCTCCTCGTTTTCCTTTAATCCACAGTTAGATCAAATTCTCACCAACTGTAAATGTCACTCTTCAAAATAATTGTTCAATATGCTTAACATATTAAAAACAGTCCACATTTAAAATCCTAATACTATTTGCATCGTAGAACTGTGCAAAAATTAATTTTACTGAGTGAGGCTTTTATGTTTTCAGTTTAGAAAAGTCCATGTTTAGTGCCTGAGAGTCCTGTGGGTCTAACTGTGTTATGGGTAATTCCGCAGGATTTCCAGAAATGATGAATGTCAGTAGAAATTTCGACTTACCATTTAGTGCACAGTTCTGTGAAATCTGTAAGTCAGTAGGTGACAGGTGACGGGGTTTAGATCACACCATCTGGGACAGGCCTTGTAAATGTGTCGTGGAGTAAACCACTGTTGCAACTACATGGCCAAGAAAGCCTTCCCACAATCAGACAGCTCAGTGTTTTAAAAAACTTAATGGCATTTGCAGTTTCTCTAAACACTCCTATTGATCAAACCTCTTTAAAAAGAAAAAGAAAAGAAAACCCCTGTAGTTATTGTAGCATAACTGACCTCTATTGCAGACGGCCCTGCTTTATTTTAAAGAGCCAGTGTTGGGAGGAACAGTTCTCAGGACTGCGGTTGTCCTTCGGGGATGAGCTCTCATGCTTCTCAGGGCTGAACCTTGGGGGGTAGTGATGAACTGCCTGTCAGACGATTCGATTACTTCCCTTATCATTAGCAATTCTTATCATTAAGTAGGCAAGGAAAGTAAAAACCCGAGATGCTCTCAAGGTGTCATCTGGACACAGTCATTTACGTACGGACGCACACTTACCCATCACAGATATCCCCACGGATAACCTTTTGCAAAACGGATCCAAAAGGGAAACTTTCGTTTTCCTTTTATTCATTCAAAAAATATTTGTAAGTACCTCCTGTGTGCCAGGCCCCGAGAGCATTCAGTGGGAGACACACATGCATCCCACCCCGACCTGTACTTCCCCCGGTGGCTCCACCCCGAAGGCCACACTAAGGCCAGTTTCCTTAGTTTCCTTAGAGAGAGATTCTGTGTGTATACAGGAGTAGATCTGTGTGTGTTTCTCACTGCTTTTTTTTTTAAATCCAAGTGATAGCATATGGTAAACCTCACATCTTGGAGAGTGTTCCATGTCAGTCTAACTCATTCTTCTTTTCCACTGTGGCACAGTATTCCGTTGTATGGTTGGATGAGTATTGTATTAGTACCCTGTTGCTGGACGTTTTAGTAATTCCTAGGGGTTCTTCTTTCCTTCTATTTTTGTGGCCTCGCCGTCTTTCTCCTGCCTTGCTTTTCTTCTGATGCATCGTTTCATTCCCTATCACTGCATCATTAATGATTCTGGGAGGTGGGACTCAGCACCACCTTCGTGAAGACCCCACCCTTGTATGTAATCCCCAACAGATCCGGGCAGGCATGAGCAAGTTAGCTTACTGTGCAAGGCCTTGTCTTTTCACCCCACAGACTTCTCGTGACTAGCTTGTGGTTAGTGATCATGAAGCCAGTTGATACGCTCTTCTACGCCAGCACCCACTTCTTTGAATTGCAGGGAACTGAAGGAT